TCGTCATATATCCTGCATTAATCAAGGTCTCTAGCCCAAAGAGCCATTTAGAATCATGCACAACGAGCACAATTTTTCCTACAGGACCTTCACATCACCCCGTGCGTCAGATGGAACCATCAGGGAGTGCGATTCCTCCTCACAAGCCAATCAAAAGAACAGAGTTTGGCATTTTGCACCTATGAATGCCATCCCAGCCCTCCGGTTTTTGATATCTAATACCTAGGATAACGTGAAGGTACTGTTGGAAAGATCACTGCACTCGTTTTATGCATACCTTTTCTTTTCTTTTTTTTGGTTGGGGTGGCAACAGGTCGGGTCGGGACGGACCCGGACCAAGACCTAGATAATTTTACAGATAAGTACATCTTTTTTAAAAATAATTTTTACTTTATTCATAATAATTTATTGAAAAATACGTGTTTTTGGTCTGTTGCAAAAGATAGCTCCTAATTGTTGGAAAAGTTAATATTGCATATAATACATGATAGGCACCAACAACTAACAAAATAATATTATCATAAATACATTAATTTTAGATAAAATAAGTCTATTTTAGATAAAATTAATTTTTATCTAAACAGACCTTACTATAAACTACTCTCTCTCTAAATTATTCTTGTACCCCCTCTCTCTCTGTCCCCTGCAAAAGATCAACTCCACTAATGGAGCATTCTAGTACCCATGCATTCTATATAAGATGGCTGTGTCTCCTAAGTAAGTTACACACTCTCTCTCACTCTAAAGTGGGATTTTTCGCTTCTTGTCCCTAAGTAAATCACTTTCTCTCTCTAACAAATGGAGAGTTGTAGAAGAATTTCTCTCCACCCTACCTATTGCAAAACGTCCCAATGGTTCAATCCTATATGAGTGGAAAGGTTTTTGGTACCCCCCAACAAGTCTAGAAGAAGTCATGGCCACTCACAAACACTTGTCTTCTCAGTCCACAGACATAGTCCTCTCTTCCTTCCCCAAAACAGGGCACCACTTGGCTCAAGTCACTCCTCTTCTCCATCATGCACCACGGTCCAAGCCCTCAAGAACACCAGACCCACCCTCTTCTCTCTAGGCACCCCCATGAGCTGGTCCCAAATCTAGAGGTGCAAATATATGGAAAAAACCCCATGCTTGATATCTCTTGCCTTGCTTCACCTAGGCTCTTTAACACCCACATCTCTTATAGCACATTGCCAAACTCTATTGAGGAAAGCAATTGCAAAATTGTTTATGTAGCTAGAAACCCTAGGGACACCTTGGTGTCCTTATGGCACTTCTTGGGGCACTTTTACAAAGGGCTAGAGCCCTTAAGCTTTGAAGAGACATTTGAGTGCTTTTGTGAAGGTAGGGTTCACTATGGGCCCTTCTTTGAGCATGTCTTGGAGTATTGGGAAGCAAGCAAAGAGAGGCCACACAATGTGTTGTTTCTTGCTTATGAGGAGTTGAAGGCTGATACTAAGGGTGGGGTGAAGAGGATAGCTGAGTTTTTGGGGAGGCCCATTGAGAGGGAGGAAGAGGTTGAAGGGATAGTGGAGATGTGTAGTTTTGAGAGGCTTAGTAATTTGGAGGTCAATAAGAGTGAGGAGAAGGCAAAGTGGGGGCCTTGTTTGCCCTACAACTCTGTGTATAGGAAGGGTGTGGTGGGGGATTGGGCTAACTATTTTACACCTGAGATGATTGAGAGGCTTGACGAGATCACTAGAGAAAAGCTCGAAGGGTCAGGTGTGGAGTTCAGATTTTGCTGAAACAAAACAGGGTTTGTATAGTATTAGACTGTTTACCTTAGACACAAGAAAGTTACAATTACATTAGCTGTTATGTTGAAATCAAGATGTGTCATTTTTTTACACAAATTTTGAAAAAATTTTCTTGGACTTCGAGCTTGGTTGATGTTTTATTTACAGCCACGTAATTTCAAAGTTGACAGCAAGGGCGATTATTATCTTTATGTAACAAAGGTAAATGGTATTATTGTATACTTTCCACTAAATAGAATTAGGACTGAAGACTTCTTCCTATATTTTCTCATGTTTTTTTTTTTTGTTTTATTATTTTTTGCCTTTTATGTCTCTTATGGTATGTTTTCCTTTTTATATTTCCAAGTTTCCTTGTTCCTATTTGCAGTGGAGTTCAAACTTCGGAGATTAAGTTTGAGGTGTGAGTACTTGTGTCATAAAGAGTCCAAATTTCAGCATGTTCTCTCTTTCCTTATGAGGGCATATTGTACCTTTTATTTGATGGGAAGAAAATTATATGAAATTTAAAATGCATTAGCCATCACCATTATGAACAGTGGAAGTGATTTGTACCCTTCATTTGGTTTAGGGGAAAGTGTAACATATGAGCAAATGGCCTAGGGGAAGTTCAAAGTACAGTGGCCGTCACCATTTAAGAAGGGTGTCGTTTGTCTACGGTTGAGGCTCTAAACAATCAAAGTAAGGCACACCTCTAACCTCTAAATAATGTTGAATGATGATTTTTAAGTAGCAAAAATCTTTGTGATGGCCTAAAAATGTATTTTTATATCTAAAATTTAAAGTTTCAAAAATAGTGTAGATCGAATAGATCTATAAATACTTGAAAGTATTGAAAATTGATGATCAAGGTAATGCATTACAAAATACACTATTTTCCAAACTAGAAATCCTTTTTTTTTTCACGTCTATACATCTCGAGGTCGAGATGATCGATTTGAGGGTTTTTCGACATCGAAATAACTTCTTCTAAGGAATTTTTGTGATGCGCCTTAATTTGATTATTTAGAGCTTCAACCAATCAAGGCTTCAACCTTACCTAATTGAAACTTTGCCCTTTAAAGAAATGATTGATTCTGTGTACTAAGTTTTTTCTTTTCTTTTTTTGTTTAAAATATGCAAACCAGACCTGCGCCCACTTAATTGGCCTAAGCAAAATAATATCTAAAACATTCCTACACAAATCACATGGGGGAGTTTTTTTTACATGAAAATACTTTCAAAGAGGTATATTCACGCATATTAAATGTGCCCTTGATTTATCAAAAACCTAAAAGCTAAAAGATTTCTTCCTCCCTAAAGAGTATGCTATCGATTTCCTCCCTCGGGCAAAACACATTAGAGATATTTTTTAGAATAATCTATGAATTTTTATTTAAAAAAAATAAACTTTCTATGCACTAAAAAAACTAACGCCTCAAGATTGAATAGAGACCATCAACTTTTGAAGGGCTAGATCAAAGTATCAGAAAATTCAAAATTCAATTTTATTTCTTTTAAAAAATCATCTAGTATTTGTTATATGATTCCCATAATTTACACACAAAAAATCAACCTAACCATTGACAGGGAGAGTAGATGCACAAT